TTTAAAGATTATTACTTTTAATTATTGTCCCTGGATCAGTAGGGTACTCTTGTAATAAAGTAGCAGTGGTAGCGGACAGATTTTAAGTATCAGTTCGGTTTAAAAAGATGCAATCTAATCCCGTTTACATGAAATAAGTCTGCTCCCAAGCAGGTTTAAATTTACGGACCTGTTGCTATGCAGCAACTCCGGGACGAGCTTCGAAGAACCAAACTATCCAAGATCATGCCAAATCATCAACAATCAAATCCAGTGTACTGAGTTAGCGACGTATGAAGAACGGGCCCCCTGACTGTGAACAACGTAAACAGCTTTCATCATCAAAACACAGTCTCTGCTTCAAGAGGATATTACACGATATTACGCTAAAAATAAGCATGAGACATGCTTAAGACAAAGAGACAAATGTCCTGCCTTAACATCAGAAGAAACACCTCCTTGAATGGCATTTCCTTTAACACTCTATGCTTTGCTTTTACCTTTTATAAATTCAGTTGATAAAGTGTGCGATCTATGCCTCTCCTCGACTGAAATAATGAATAATTAAGTGAAACGGTTTTGTTAAGACAAAACTAAATTTTTAAATAAAAAAAAAAACTAATAAAAAAAAATAGAGTAATATACTAAGCAATAAAACTGAACTTCACTTATATACTCTGTATTTGTATAACACTGGCAGAGAAACTAGAATTTCAGTAGCGACTACAGTCTTAGACAAACTGCTAAATGACGCTAATTCTTGCAAGAAGACATACAATGTGTCTAGTTAAGACTAAATCAATACAAGGTTGCTCAGATTTCTTGCCTCATCTCTGCTGGGAGGATTCTGGGTAACACAGTATCACTGAGATATCACATCAGCTCAAGCTGGAATGAAAAGCAACATGATACCCTGCTGCTGGGCTTCACTCCTCTAGCGAGCAACCAAGAGAAAGAAAAGAGACTAAACAAGAAGTAAATGGGAAGGATCAAGAGGTCAAGCCGGTTCTTTATCTCTTTCAGGATGCAGATAATAAGAGCTTTCTCTCCAACTCTCTGGAAAAGCTCTCACCTGGACCATACAGATCTCATGTGTGTAACTCTCACTGGTAGTGAACTCAGCCTCTTCCCAAACACTCCAGGCTTAAAGGGATAGTTCACTGAAAAACGACAACTCTTTTATCACTTACTCTACTTCATGTACTCCAAACATGTATGACATTCCTTCCTCCACTGAACAACAACAACACAATATTTAGCAGAATCTTCTCAGTGCTCATTTATAATAAAAAATAAATGATGGTTTTCATTTCTGGGTCAACGATCTTTTTTGTAAGGCTAGTCATAAGAAAATTCTGGTGTGAGCTCACAAGATTTCTACTACAAAGTCATGTAATTATAAAGAGTAAATAATGTCTGTGTTGATCTGCCTGTGTCAGAGTGTTGAGCCTGCACAGGTACAGGACGTTTGTGTTTGAATTCTTCCAGCTCCAGCACATGCATACACCGGCTATCTGACAAGAAGCTTACAGCTCTTCTGTTAGCAAAATACATACAAAATGTACCCTTACTGTATGTGCACCAATAAAAAAAAACACTGAACTGTGATGTGCGAACATGTATAATTTGTTTATTTTATGTTCTAGTTTGGTTGAGGATGCACTCTAATGTGTCTCTGTGAGTGTGTGTTTAATTTTTGCCAATAAATATATTTTGGGAAAAAAACAATCAAGTTATTCTGTTTATATGGGTCAAAGACATTAAGTGATTACAAAAGTGATTTTATATCCATAGAAAGCACATTAAATGTAAGTTTTGAAGGCTACGTTTTTGAAGAATAAAACGTCAAAATTTGGGTGAAATAATGTTACGTTGTCATTCAGTGTAACACAATATTTATGTAAACATTCAAACAACATGCTTATTCTGACATGTACATATTAAAATATATAAAAGAATAAGGGAGCATATTACATTTTATTGTGTTTTAAATGAGTAAAAAATTCTTACTGACAAATGGGCAAAACCTAGGATAGTGGCAAATTTAAAAAATGTAAACATTAGTATTCGGGGTGAAAGTAATTAGTCTAATATGCCATAAATTGATTTTTGTAGTAAATATGCCTGACAAGATTGTTACACTGAATGGCATTTTAGTGGGTCTCTTCTGTAAATCTTGAAAATGTATGATATTTATTTTTTGCTCAGAAAGACAAAAACAAAACTGCAATTACATTACACAGATTTTTTTTTTTGGGGGGGGGGGGATAAAAAAATTTAAAGAAGTATTACACTTATTGTTTTTATGCTTAAACCCTTTTTCATCTTTGACCCATATTCATCCTGTCTATGAAAATAATTCTTCCACCTTTGCAAATTAAAATAAAAAAAATAATTTACAAAGAAAATAAAGCCTAGTTTATAACCATTATGCTTATTTATTTAAGCATGTTTGGGGGGGATACAACAATTTAAAGCAGTATTACACTTATTGTTTTTATGCTTAAACCCTTTTTCATCTTTGACCCATATTCATCCTGTCTATGAAAATAATTCTTCCACCTTTGCAAATTAAAATAAAAAAAATAATTTACAAAGAAAATAAAGCCTAGTTTATAACCATTATGCTTATTTATTTAAGCATGTTTACCCTTCTATTTTCATGACTTAATGAAAATCATCCTGTGAGGACACAATGCTGTTTTGTTACTGTTACACTACAATAGGTTTTTATTATGTATTATGTCATTTTATTTATTTGCTTGCATTGCGTTGCAGTTAACATTTTTAAAACTGTTTTTCGATACTAAGGTGAAATATTTCTGACATTTCTTGACAGTTGTTGTAAGATTCACCTGAATGTAAGAAAAGTTCACATTTATATGACCAACATGATTATGGACAGCATCAGACATGCACACGCACACACACACACACACACACACACACACACACACATGGTGCTGAAG